GAGAGAGAGAGAGAGAGAGAGAGAGAGAGGGAGAGGGAGGGGGAGAGGGGGGAACTCACATCACAGTGGAGTCAGCTGTCTTAACCGTGGCTTGTGTACTGCACACATACCAGCTTCATCACTGTGTCTGTCACACGACTCTGTTCCCCTTTAGGGCTTGAACTGATGGTAAAACTAATTACATTATTTACTGTCTTTACATTTATTTTGAAAGATGAAGCTCGTGATTATGGTAAGGGGCGTTACATTTCCGACGAGTGCTTGCGGTGTTCGGCCAATCACAATGCACTGGGTCAGCTGGCCAATCAGAGCAGACTGCGCTTGTCGGAAGGAGGGACTTTGTAGAAAACGAAGCGTTTGAGAGAGGCGGGGCATGGAGGACCTACAATAATGTACAGTATTTTAAAAAATAATGTGTTTTTTGAACATTAAAGCATGTCAACATATTCTGTTACACCAAATACACAAAATAATGATCTTTAAAAAAGCATCATATGACCCCTTTAAGACACTTTAATTAATGCTGTCACATACGACGTAACAAATCTGTTTCAAAGATAAAATTAAATAAATTGCTAATTACTACACTGAAATAAAGATTTAAAGCCTGTACAAATATTAGAAATCGTGAATATACTAAATATTTGGGAATAATGTAAAAAAAATTTTTTTAATAAAATAAAAACTGTGCACATTCATTGATCTATTATAACTTTTATGTAGTTTTGTTCGCTTGGCTGTTTCCAGAAATCCGTCCCCGTGTGCAGATCTTTAATGGCATCCGCAGTTGCCCTCCGCCGCCTGCAGGAGCTTCACCTGGAAAACCTGCAGCACCGCCATGGCGTGCAGCGCGGAAGCCATCTCGCCATCAGATGCATATGCTTTATTGTGCGCAGCGACGGTCTCCTCGATGAGGGGGAGAGTGCACGTACCCGTTGGCCTCATCCACGTGGGAAAAGATGGCCTGTGTAACAGAGTGGACACATGCTGATTGGGGCGCAGACCACGTTTTCACAAGCTGCTCGTGTACGTCGGGGAAGAAGGGGACCGACGCCAGTCAGCTTTCCAGGTGGACCTGGAATACTAGGAGTCGAGCTTATTACTGGCAGGCTCCTCTGGAGGACTCAAGGTAAGCTCCAACTCCTGGACAGTTTTCGACAGAACCCTCATGAGCTCCTTCTAGAGGTCTGGGGGCCCCATGCTGTCCGGCTGATCGGACTCCGATCCTGTCCTGTCCTCTTTCTCCGAGACCGAGATGGACATTGAGTCATCCCCCTCCTCCTGGCCAAAGGACACAAACTCTGCGATGTTGGAAGGAGGACGGAAGCAGACCCCGGGGAAGGAGACCGGGGAACGGGGCGACTGTTGGGGTTGGCGGAGCGGCATGACGATGCTCCCGTCACCGGGAGGGGGAGGGCCCACCAGCAACACGCTGGCGGCAGTGGGCCTCACCCCGAATAGGCCACGAGCCACATGGCACGTGGGCCGGCAGATCCGTGTAATGCCCGCAGTGGTCGTGTTGATCCGGCGGCTCTATTGGTTCCGCGCAGATCTTGCAGAATGTTGCCATAATGAATTCAGCAGGTAAAGAATAAGATTCTGACGCAATTGGCGCGAGCATCGCTTTTTATACTGCCTCACGAGCTCTTCAGTATTTGCATACGATGCATGCTTCGCATCAATTGGCCAGTCAACTGGACTGGCATGAGCCAACAAGACTTCAGGAAAGGTTAGAAGGGAAGGTATTGCCCATAGCGGTAGCACCGCAGTGTCTCGAGACAGCTCGAGAGGGAACATAATATGCAGATTTAGGGGGGGGAAAATCTCACCAAATTCTGACCATTACATCATATGTTAGGCATTACAGGGTTAAAATCCATTTCAGACAATGTAAAAATGTAATTCTTTTTGAAACAATCATGTTTAGTGCTGCTAATTATTAAGGCATTACACACATCAGCTTTACATGCACTAACAAGAAGTTATAGTAGTTATAGTTATTACCATGGCCCAAACTCTTGTTGAATCTTTCATGAACAGTTGAAAATGACTGCAAAGTACCATCTTGACCTATTATAAGAAAAATTAAGATGATTATGCTTGAATATATTTATCTACAATGATTTCCCTTGTCTTCAGTCTTCATAATTGACTTATATGACAGTACCTGCGCTAAGAATGTTTATGCCGCTCTGGTCATTGTGCTGAATTTTTTTTGGTGGGGCACTGTGACCAGTTCGGTGTCTTAGCAGACGTCCGTCCCCTCCGGCTACATCAAAAATCCACACCTAAATCACGATAGCCATTGTTTACTGCCACAATACACATTGGAATTAAATTTAGGGCTGGGAGATAAGTGACATCATATCGAGATTATGATCAAATTTATGTAGATAATGATGAGAAGCACTGGATACTTTTACTCTGTATGGATTAATCTAACAGCAGAAATAAATGTGACAACAGTCAGTTAATGCATGACGCTAATAAGTCTGCATGTTCTGCATGATTCTGACAATCTGTCAAAATAAATGTTCAGTTTAACTTGAAGAAATTATGGCAGAAATATTAATATATTTTAGAATCTATTGTATAATAAAATTTTATTCTAAAAACAATAATAAGAATATTTTCAAGGAATATCTTACAACAAAGTTATTTTTTATTTATTTATACAGTTCTGTTGTGCAGCATTTTATTTGGCAAAAAAATAAAAATGCATATAAAATAATTTTGTAGTAAATTAACTGTTTTATTTTGTTTGTTTGTTTTAAAAGACTGATTCAATTGCTGTTAAAGTTGTATTAATTAATTTTATTAGACACCCTTTTTTATGATAAATGTGTACTGGATCATAAAAGTTCATTTCAAAGGCATCTTACTGTGTGGAGATTAATTGTGAAGAAACTAATTATGTTTACATTCATTTTCAGGGTCTAACAAACATGTGGAAAGCATTTCCTTTCCCATTAATTGTAAATACATATAGTGATAAATATCAATCTCTTATGATATGGAAAAAATATTGTGATAATATATGTGGCCATATCGCCCAACCCTAATTACATCTGAATAATTCACATCATGAAATTCAAGTCTCAGCAAACAATACAAACCCGTATGGCATTGTCTGCTCCGTTAGTGATCAGGAGGGGTTCGTTTTGAAGAAATGTGAGGCCAGCGATGGCTGTTGTATGAGCATCCCGCATCTGACTGACTAGTTTCTTCTCCTCTAAATCCCACAATCCTATGTGTCCGATAGGACTGCCAGATGCCATTATTGGATGTCTGTCTGTCCAAGGACAAGGACAAAGTAAGCGCAATAAAATGGGCCAAAATATATATTATACACTTTGTGAAGCATGGGTAACAACATTACCTGTCCTGAAGGATAAAGCCGTGACCGGACCCCAGTCCTGTTGGAACTTCATCAGCGTTTCATCAAATCTGATATTATGAATGATGATCTGCCCAGATGCTAAACCCACACCCACAACATCTACAGCTGGAGTCTAAAGAGAATAATTTTAACAGAACACACTGCACACTAGTTACCAATGATCTATTAAAGTAGTGATGGTTTATGGGTTATCCACCAACTGACTAGTTGGTTTTAGTCTTAATATTTTCAGAAGCAATGCTGGAAAACAGATCAGGACATCCCTGTAAATGGGATGCAACATGTAGCAGAGAATTTTAGCATCTGATATTTGATATTTCTGTGCAAATTTAATAAATACTCAGAGCTTTCATTTGCTGAATATCTGGTATTACTCTTTGAATAAGACAATTATGAATATGTGCATTTTTTTATGTATACAGGGTTAAGTCGTGGGGAAGTCGTGGCCTAATGGTTAGAGAGTCGGACTTGTAACTCAAAGGTTGCGGGTTCGAGTCTCGTACCGGCAGGAATTGTAGGTGGGGGGAGTGAATGTACAGTGCTCTCTTCCACCTTCAATACCATGACTGAGGTGCCCTTGAGCAAGGCACGGAACCCCCAACTGCTCCCCGGGCGCCACAGCATAAATGGCTGCCCACTGCTCCGGGTGTGTGCTCATGGTGTGTGTGTTCATTGCTGTGTGTGCACTTAGGATGGGTTAAATGCAGAGCACTAATTCCTAGTATGGGTAACCATACTTGGCCACATGTCATGTCACTTTCACTTCAAGAATAAAGCAGAATAAATAAAGAAAGTAATGAGACCAACTTGTTGAAGAACAGTAACAGCAGATGCCCATCCAGGAAATGTAAACAGGAGTTTGCTGTAAGAAAAGTAAGAAAAGCAGAATTCTGTTTCAATTTCTGATTATTAAATAACATTTACTGCATAATTAAAGTTAAATCTCAAAATGTCAATCAAGAAATGTTCAGGGCTGCATTTCCCAAAAGCATTGTAAGCTTAAGTACATCGTAGACCCATTGAAACCAACAGAGCTACGATCAACTTAGGCTTACTATGCTTTTGGGAAACGCAGCCCAGGTCATTTTTTTACCCAAACTTTCACCCAAGTTATATTTCTTAATGTCAATGATTGATATATTGGCAAATAGAAAATATGATGATGATTAAGATGATTTAACATTCTCATTATTATCATGTGGAAAAAATATAAATTATGTCAAACTTATATTTACATTTATTTACATAAAAAACAGAACATTACAATTTAACATTACTCATTATATTAGGGCTGCACGATATTGGAAAAAACTCACATTGCGCTATTTTATTTTTCAGCGATATATATATTGCGATATAAAAAAAATCAGATGACTTCAATAGCTCTATTTGGGAAAAAAAAATCAATGATTGGGGTTATTTTTTTAGGCGAGTAAATCAGCATAGGAAATAAACAAATTACAAGCATAGATAAATAACAGAACAAAGATACAAATGAAATAAGCAGTGTTTTATATTTTTTAGGTAAGTCTAACAGTATCCAGGTACAGAAAATTGAATAATCAAATGTAAAATAACACTGCATAGTTTTCACAATAAATTAAATCTAACAAATCTGTGTTAAAGCTACAAAAGTGATTTTTCTTTGTGTTTTGTTGTTTGATTAACGTTCATGACAGAGAAAGCAACAGGAACACTAAACTGCTGTGAACCAATATACTGTTACACATCCATTTTCTTTCTCAATTGTTTACCTTCACCTAAGCCATTAAGCATCTGTGTTTACAAGGATACTTGCAGAGCACAGTATTTCAGGCACAAATAGACACAGAAGTGAATGGAATTCAGTGTTCACGTGCCTCTGCGTGGCTCTCACTGTGTCTACACCGGACGCAAGTGGCGCAGCACGACAAAATACAATAGAACCCATTATAATCAGTGATGCTGTGTGACTGACTACACTGGATTGCGCGCGACACGACAAATCCCCGACAGTAAACTGATGCTGCGTTCTCTTTATGACGTACTGACACAAAGTTCAAATGATATGTAACGGTCGCTTTGTCGCGTCTAGTGTATACAGACTTTGGGGCCGTTCACATGTCGCGCCTAAAACGCGTCGAAAACGCCATACATTTTTACATTTTTGAATGGAATGTAAGTTGGATGTCATGTTTTGGTGAGATTACGCCTTCAAATCTTCATACCATTATTCCATGATTTAACTGTATATACACAAACTTTAAATGTTATGGAAGTCACAGTACATTCAGAATCCATAAGAAGAGCATACTTCGATTTGATGTTCCATAACTGAAGACTTCCTTGACTGCTTCCAAACAGGATTTTGTTCAGGTAGGTGCTCGGATGCATCAGAGCAGAGACTTCAAATGATGCTTTGTCATATGAAATCTGCAGGTATGTGTCTGCAGTGAGATTGACGGAATATATTACATACACTGTGAAGATATCCTTGATTCTGCTGCAAGAAATTAATGTAAACCTAGCAAAAACAATTAAAAAAAACAACCCTCAGACTCCACATCCCAAATAATGACAGCATTGTCCTTGTCAACAGAAATCAGATGATCTCCGAAAGGCAACAGTAAGTGCACATCAGCTTGATGGCCTGTGTATGTGTGAACAACCTGGATGAAAGAGACAAAAACATATATTATTACATCTAACTAATTCTTATTTAATCTAAGTCTTTTTAGTGTTATGCATCTTTAAAAGTACAGTACATCTCTAACTGTGGACACTTTACCTCTTTGTTTTTTGCAAAAGCAGAGATAAGTTTTCCATATGCGGCATAGACAAGCATACGATCTGCTGCCAGGGATGAAATGTCTTCTGGGAGGGCATTACCTGTACGAGTGGTTATTACAACTGTTTTAATCAAATGCATAAGGAAATTATAATTGTTTGATCGTGGATTTGCAGAAAGTGTACTGTAATCACTGTAACATAAATGCACGGAATCCTACTTACTGACTGCAACGATTCCAAGTTTCTTTACCTGACAGAAAAAAAGATGGGTTCATTTTATACTGCACTCAAATAATTAAGAATTACAGCTACTAGTACGAAGCACATAATCAAATTTTCAGGGTTTCTACAGATATGAACAAGTGAAATTTAAGACTTTTTAAGACCTTTTTAATACCACCTTATATGAAATTTAAGACCTAAACATGTAATGGAAATACACATTATATTACATACACATATGTAATATTTAATGCGTTTAATGTAAAAAGAAAAAAAGTTAATTGCTGTCATAAATTATATTTATTACTACGATATACAGAGAACTTTTCATATCAGCAGACAATATTCCACACAAAATATCCCCACAAAAGTGCATCACCGAGATTTTTGGTGGTGCAATCAATTATTCTGAAGCAATATTTTCATCAGTGTTCTATCAGCTTTTACATACTTAAATCTGCATATTTTTATTTACCTTTATAAAGGCCTATTTTTTTTTTACTTTTTAAATCTACAGGTGCATCTCAATAAATTAGAATGTCGTGGAAAAGTTCATTTATTTCAGTAATTCAACTCAAATTGTGGAACTCGTGTATTAAATCAATTCAGTGCACACAGACTGAAGTAGTTTAAGTCTTTGGTTCATTTAATTGTGATGATTGTGGCTCACATTTAACAAAAACCCACCAATTCACTATCTCAACAAATTAGAATATGGTGACATGCCAATCAGCTAATCAACTCAAAACACCTGCAAAGGTTTCCTGAGCCTTCAAAATGGTCTCTCAGTATGGTTCACTAGGCTACACAATCATGGGGAAGACTGCTGATCTGACAGTTGTCCAGAAGACAATCATTGACACCCTTCACAAGGAGGGTAAGCCACAAACATTAATTGCCAAAGAAGCTGGCTGTTCACAGAGTGCTGTATCCAAGCATGTTAACAGAAAGTTGAGTGGAAGGAAAAAGTGTGGAAGAAAAAGATGCACAACCAACCGAGAGAACCGCAGCCTTATGAGGATTGTCAAGCAAAATCGATTCAAGAATTTGAGTGAACTTCACAAGGAATGGACTGAGGCTGGGGTCAAGGCATCAAGAGCCACCACACACAGACGTGTCAAGGAATTTGGCTACAGTTGTCGTATTCCTCTTGTTAAGCCACTCCTGAACCACAGACAACGTCAGAGGCGTCTTACTGGACTGGAGAAACTAGCTAGAAGTCTGGTGATCAGCTAGCTGTAGCTCGACCTATAATTATTATTATCATTGAGAACATTATATACGCAAAGTAGTTCGACCTGTATTCTGCTAACGTTACTGCGATTCTGTCTGATGATGCAGTAAGGAGGAAAAAAAATCTTCGGTCTGTCCAATGATTGTAAACAGTCATTAGGTCTGTGAGACTGAAGATATTTCAATGGTAATGTGACCAAAAATATTTAAAACCCATCAAATCTGAATTTAAGACATTTTAAGACTTTTTAAAGGTGCCATAGAATGCATTGATACAATATTTTAAATTGTTCTCTGATATCTACATAGAAGGTTTGTGGCTTAGGTAAGAAATCTCCAGAAACGGTTTTACATGTCCATTTACAACCCTAGGATTTGTCCCTAGAATGAAATGGTCTGTTTTTACCTTATTTGGAAGGGTCATGAATAATAATGTTGAGCACTGCTCTGATTGGCTGTTTCACAGTGCGGCTCAATGTTGAGCTCTGCTCTGATTGGCTGTTTCACAGTGCGGCTCATTTCAGTAGCTCACACAGCAGGAAGGAACACAGGGAAAATATATATTTCAATACGGTCTCTTGCAGTTATATCATTGAGTAATTATACTGTATATAATTTGCGGGCATCAGGGAGCCGCTATGAATATGCGGGGATGCACGATTGCTTTTCACTTTCACTTTCGAGATTTGTGATCGCACGTGCTGTGTAAACTACAGCGGCAGTACTTACTCCTCATTCTTTCTTGTAGCAATTCCCTCTCAGTCACACACCTGACTGAAAGGCTCATTATGCAGCTCATTATGCAGGCCTTTGTCTTCTCAGGTGTGAATCACAGCATTATCCATGACCATTCACGCCCCCTCGCATTTTCCTTTTCTACACAAAATGTGTCTTAGAAAATTTAAATCAACATATTGTTTTCAGTGAGTGAGTAAACAAGATGATTTTCACATCATTCTGAAGCAAAAACTCTAGACTTCAAGATCCAGTTCTCAAAAGTCTTGTGAACAAATGTTCTGTATGTGTTTTCAACCCTCTACATTGCGAGTAAATCACTCGCATATGTGACTAAATCTTCACTCTGGGCGACTAAATGATGTCTAATATTAGCCAATTGCTAATAAATTCTCAGATTTTACTCGCCAGTGTGTGAGTTGGAGGCTAAGTATAAGTTTAGCGCGGATATATTTTCACTCGCCTAACACTCTGACTGAGCGCTTCAGAGTTTCACTCTCCGTCAAGCGATCTGTGCTGTATTTCAGTTCATCTGAATGGATGTGCAGCGCACCTGTATTGAACGTACCGTAAACTCTAGTGTGAACTCTTTGTTTCACACACACGCAGCGAGAGAGGGAGAGAGAGAATTGACGCGCTACCTATGCGCGCTACATGTAAACGATATTCTTTGTTGTATTTTACTGTCAAAATAACAGAGTTCCTTTGGAATTCTTCTGCTTTTAAGAACTACCGCTTTCTCCGCTAGTGGGCTGAACTAATGCGCAAACGCCAATCTCATTGGCTGGTGCTCACCTATTATCATCCCTGTTTTGATTTCAGCAAATCAGTTCGAGCGAACGCACACAACCTGATTAATATTCATGAATCCAGTAGCTCATTAATCCTTGGTGCGTTTTATATTGTTCTTATTAGTAGAATTCGTATCATTATCATCTAATCAGTATTTTTGTTAGTTTTTCCCCAATTTTTTTTTTTTACAGCAACACTGAATGACCAAAAAAGCACCAGCACCAGTCCGAAGTTCAGTTAAAATGACTAATATGCATTCATACATGGTTATCAAGTTTTAATTCTAATTACAAAAGTTCTATCATTAAATAACATTGATTATCATATTATAATGCTTGACTGACTGATGTTAAGAGTGTACTTTCAGATATTTATAAAACTTTGCCATTTCACAAACATATATACATATATATTGTAGCATTTGGACCAATCAGACACACAACTTTTTGTTATATTTAACAAATAATATCTAACTCCCCCTCACCTAACCAAATGGCAAATTACGAGGGTCTATGGACCCTTCCCCCCGAAATGCACCTAACACCTCAGAAAGGCAGAACAGGCCTCTGGTTCCATGGTAACCAATGCTGATATCACTGGTTTTATGGCTTAAAGGAATGCAGGCAGACAAACTCCCTCATTTTCCTCAGAAGAAAGACACACAATGCCCAGAGAAATGGACTGTTCTCAAATTAATTCATAGGAAAACCTTTCTAGCTTCTGTCATGAAAACAAATTCCTCGTATGTGTAAACATACCTGGCAATAAAACTCATTCTGATTCTGATTCTGATCAGTCTGGCGAGTAAACAAAAAAAATGTACTAGCCAATGGCGATTCAATTGCCAAGGTGTTCGTAGAGGGCTGGATTTATAACGTTGTTTTCTCAAAAACACAATCACATACATACATGCTGCCCACATATTATTGTAGCCCAGTTTGTGCTGATTATGGTGCTACTAAACTTAGCCATTAAAATGTTTATAAGCAACTGAAAAAAGCACAAATGTCAGGGCATGTCAAAACTTCTCCAGGGCCCCAAAACACCCTCGGACCCCAGAGGGTTAAGGCCTTTTATTAGGAAAACGTTATTTAAGACATTAAGACTTTTTAAGGACCCGCGGACACCCTGAATTTTAACACCTCCATATTTTGTCTACCCAAAAATTAAAATTATGTCATTAATTACTTACTCTCATGTAATTCCAATCCTGTAAGACCTCCGTTCATCTACGAAACACAAATTAAGATATAAACAAATCTGAGAGCTCTCAGACCCTCCATAGACAGCAAGGTTACTACCATGATCAAGGTCCAGAAATGTAGCAAAGACATCAGAAAAACAGTCCATGTGACATCAGGGGTTCAACCGTAATTTTACAAAGCTACAAAAATATGTTAGGTGCGCAAAGAAAACAAAAATAATGACTTTATTCAGCAATTCTCCTCCTCATCTCTTATGCTGTGGTGCGCTGCCATTGCGGAGAGAGTATCATGACTAGGGATGGGCATGATTAATCTACGATCGATAATTGATCGTTAAGAATTTCGTCGATCACGTTAATTTGTTATCGATTAATCTAATGCATTTTTTAAAATCTAATGCAGGTTGCGTTGCGTAGTGTGAGTCTTGACGCAATTAAATGAATTTCACTGTGTGGCAGCAATTAAACATTTTACCACCAGGGTGCAATATTTGACACCATACTCGGTTATCTGTGATCTTCCGTTTTGATTTCAAAAGAATAATCATGAAGAGGTCACGGCGAAGTGTGGCGTGGGACCATTTTGATTTAAAAAGCGAAATAGTTCACTGCAAACATTGCGATGCCGTGTATAAGTACAACACGGCCACGACTCAAATGATGTACCACTTAAACAAAGTGCATCCGTCCCTGGTTAATGTCGGTGGCGGTGCATCCTGCTCTCAGTCTCAACCTAGCATCAAGTCGGCATTAGCACGGACTCGGAGCTGTGATGCACAACGAGCAGAGAAAATTACCCAAGGGATCTGCAAGTTCATTGAGATGGATATTCTGCCCTTAAGTATTGTTGAGGGCAATGGTTTTCGAGAACTGATACATTTATTGGAACCAGCATATCAAATTCCATCACGACGTACCATCACTAGACTGATAGAAACTCACTACGAAGAACGAAAGCAGCAGCTGTTAAAAGAATTGAGCAAAGCTGAGAGAGTTGCTCTAACTACAGACTGCTGGACCGCTTTAACAGCTGAGAGCTACATCACCATAACCTGCCACTACAT